ACTATTTTTTTTTTTAAATATAATATGACTAAATTACTTTTTCTTTATAGGCAACTCAAAAAAATCAATTTGAGAAAATTACAATTGTTTAGAAAGAGTAAATCATATTTTCGTAATTAAAAGGTTTTTCAATAGTAATTACATTACTTTAACAATACATACAACTTAAAAACAGAGTCCAAACTTTATTACTATTTCGTTTTATTTTTTAATTTTGTGCGACGTTTATTACTTTTTCGAAAATGCTAACAACTAGCACCATTTCTAATAATTTATTTAAAAAAAACATAAAATTCCTTGAAGTTTCCTTATAAATACTTATCTCTTTTTTCTAACGAAGGTAATAGTTAAACACGTACAATATGACACATTAGAAATGAAGGACAATTCGTATAAAATAAACATATTGAAATTATTTTTGATTAAAATTTTATGAATAATAGGGTAATAATTACTTGAAATGGTGAATTGATTCGTCTGGTACCTTTCTATAAAATTTATCATATTGATAACAAATGAATAATTTATTTATAAGTGTAATCAACAAACAATGGAATAGCTTTTAGTCATATCATTCAAACAGAAAATGCCAATTAATACAAGGACCTTTTTGGTATTGTAATTTTCAAGTATGAAAACAATTTTATTGTTTTGTCTTTTACAACTGTTTAAAAATACTTTTTCAATTCATTCCACTAAAACCATAACACCTCTGGTATGCTGTGGTGTATATTTTTCAAAATATCTTTTTAAACTTACTAAAAAATATGTGTGTACTTCTAGTAAAAACCACTTTTGAATAATATCCCATAAGAATAAATTTAATGTAAAACCACTAGTATATAATGTCACACAATAGGTATCTTTCGTTACCCATCGGCCAGAAAGTGAAATTTTCTTGGGTAATTTAGCTATCATGTTAATTGCGAAATTCTCTACGGACTTGTTTGTATACCTACCCCTTTTTAGATGATCAGTGATACTTTTAACAGACAGATTGGCAGGCAAGGAAGTGATCTTATAAGGGTTCCGTTATTTTTTTTTTTTTTGAGGCTGGGAATCCCCGCAAAAGAAGGAACCTTTATGAATATTTAAACTAGAAATTATGATCATATGGATATGATACGTACATACATATTTTTACTTTTTAAGTTGAAATAAAAATAATGTGTATACATATGTACCTAATATTCACTCACAAAAAAAAAAACAATAAAAGCGAAACATACTGTATTTTCTTAATCTACGAACTATAATATCCAATTTAATTTGGACTTCGCTCTTCCTTTGTTGATCCCTTCAGTACGGTACGTAAACAAACATATTATTTACGTTACGGTTGAAGTAATTAGTTAATAAGTTTTTTTAAAAGAAAAACCAGCAATCTTTTAACAATGTTTAATAATAATAAGTGTTAACAATTCATATAAACTATAAAAATATGTATATGCACATAGCTCTAGTAATCAAGTGGTTTATATGAGTAATTATTACAAAAAAAAACAGCAACTACTAAAATGTAAATCAATTCAAATACTTAATTAACTAATTGCTAGATACGTGGCAGACTTAAGTGGTATTCAAAAACGTACCATTTAATTGCAGTTTTCTATTATTAANTTTTTGCTAAACACTTTCAGTAGCTTCCCATTAAAAGTATTGCATTCAAACGTAATTAATATTTATTTCAATTAATTATAATCCATTGTATATATGTATAGATCATTTTTTTGTAAACGTTTGATGTCTAAAATTGAGGAAAAATCACCCACAGAAGTCTATCTACCTTTCTCTTGTTATTCAATGTAATAAAAAGAAATATAAGCACAATCATTTAATGAACTTAGTACATAGTAAACGATGCAGCGGTGATGTAACTTGAACACTAACAGGAAATAAAAAATTGCTTATAAACTGCTGTTTATGGGACGGCTTTCCTTTCCTACTTCCTGACAAAACCTTCAGAACCTGCTTGTGCTTGCGCTTGCGATGCAGCTTGACTTTGTGACAAGTTGATATTGATGTTTGTTGCTTGACTTTGTGCTTGACTTGAAGCTTGACTAGAAGCTGCCCCACCTCCTCCATAACCTCCAGGTGCCACTAAAAATAGCAATATTTAATGTTACGTTCAAAATACTCATACTAAAATTATCGAGAGATACCATGTAAACTAATTATTTATTCAACAACATATGACACGTATCCTTTCGGTAACTTTTTAAATTTAATTTCCATAACGTCAATATTTACCTCAATAATGGTTTAGCCCTTACACCTCCCATGGGATGGATATCGTAATGTTTTATTTATTTTAATTCTTCCTTATTTTAATTCTTATCCAATTTTTACACATATCAGTATGTTTTGAAGTGTCTAATTGTTATTTTTTTTTCACTTCATTATCAGTCGTGTGGCATTGGCCCATGAAAAGATTAAAAGCAATTATTCAATTTAACATTCTCAGTTGTTTATACGTTTCTGTTATCAACACACCGTTGAAATGCACTTTAAGTGTTTCTAAAAGTGACAAATTCTTTTCTAAACTGTATATGTAAGTATTTACACTTTCCTTACCTAATACAATATTGTTTTAGTTGTCCAATTAAATCTACTATAATAATTAACATGTNCTGCATTCTGTGTTGTTAGTACGCCTAAAAAATTATTTACTAAACAAATATTGCTAATAAAATGTTAATTTTAAAAATTGACTACAAAATTGCAAAGTTTTCAATTAATTTTCTATGTGGATCCATTTACATAAGCTGGTATTCTTTGGTACTTCCTTCTGTGCATTTCGTCGACTTGGATGAGGTAGTAGGTGCCAGGAAACAGATCTTCTGTAGTACCCGATGGTTCATAAGGAGCTGCGTGACAATTTTTCTCTCGCAATTCCAAAATAGATGAAAATTTCTCAGGACTAACTTTCCTTCTCTCCTTTAATTGTAATTGTACATGTTTTAAGCTTTTTACTAGTTTACTAATGTCTTCTTTATTGCTGGAAATTGTGATGGAATACATAGAAGAGGCCAAACCAGACCCATAAGAAAATAATACAACCCTTTTTCCCAGTAAATCTTCTACACTGTTGACTCCTACTAAAAGAGAAACTAGACTGCCATACAATGAAGCTGTGTACATGTTTCCAATTTGATTAGCTGCTAGCAAGGATGCTTTGGTCTTTTTTTCAAATAAATCATTGCTATAATTGACAAAAACCTTTTCAATTTCTTTATCAAAATAGCACTCCTCAAGCTTCTTATCTTTGTACTTCTTTAAGTCAGGATACTCTAATTCAACTTTATTAGTGCTTAGCTGTACAATATCATTCAGTACCAGTCGAGACAATGACTTTTGGACAAGTTTACAATAAGGAGAATGAAAAAGGAAATAGTCTATGTCTTTTACACAAATAGATCTCCCCTGCTGTTTACTTGCCTTTTTACAGTAGCTTTGGTAACATTTATCCAGGGCATTCAAATAGCACTGGATGGAAAGTTTACCATCTACAACAGGATACTCTGATGACAAGTTTGGTTTGTAAAAATCATAAGCATGTCTCATATAAATAGCTCTTAAACCCCTATCAATAACCAGTGGTGCATTTGGACCAATCAACATTGCCACTGCCCCTGCTCCTCCTGTAGGTCTTGCTGATCCTTTGGCATATACTGCAATGTCTGCTGTAACAACAAGGGCATACCTTCCATTCCAAGCTGAAGATTCTACCCAAGACAAGGCATTGAATAGGGCTGCAGTGCCCCCATAGCAAGCATTAGTACTGTCAACACCCTCCAAGTCTACAACACCATGAGGTTCAAAAAGTTGCATCAGCACTGTTTTTACACTTTTTGACTTGTCAATAACTGTCTCTGTGCCTACTTCTAAACGTCCAATATCAGAATACTTCAAGTGATGTTTCTCCATTAAATTATGAACAACAGTCAAACACAGTGAGTTTATGTCTTCTCGATCAGTGCAAAACCCCATTTTATCCTGTCCCAAGCCAATGGTATACTTTCCTGCTGATACACCATCAAAAACTTCCAGTTCTGTTTGGTCAACATAGTATGATGGAAATATCATTTCCATTGTAACAATACCCACATTCTCTGGCCAGGAACCCATTTTTAGTGTTTTTCAACGATAAAAGTAAAGATAATATCAACAATTTTATTACACAAAATGATTAATAAAAGTTTTGTTTAAAATCACAACTATGTATGAGGCACATGAGTTTCATTATGATTTACCACGATTTATTAGATAACAGGTAATTAAGTTTTTAATTAATGATTAAAAATAATTAGAATATTTATGTAACATTTTATTTTCAGCCAATGTGTGGACGTCAATGTGAAGTATTGAATCGAGTTAAAGGTCGAATGTTTTTGAGTTAAAGATACATTTTTAAAACATGTAATAATATTGTATCTAAATCCATTTTATTGGTGTTAATTAATAAGTTAATTATCCTTACAAAAGACATTTAGTTCAAAATAGTCCAAGGAGTACGACTTCTAAAATTTTTTCAATTCGACAAGTGAATCAAACAAATCAATTTGAATTAATATAACAACTATTAGTTACATTCGAAAGTAATTGAACATTAATTATGTGATTAATTCTATTTATTTTATTTGACTTATAGTTGTAATTTTTAATTGCGTTTTCTTGTGTCTCCAAAAAAATCTTTGATTTTCATGAATATTATGGTAGTTACCCCTGTCCTTTACAAATGTTGTAATATGACAATAAGGAATTTACTTTAAGTTTTGTTTGCACCTGCACAATTTTTTATTTATTATTATTTTGCAGAATATATTTGATACTTTTGAGCCTAATATTTACTACTCTGTAGACACTTTAACTGTAAAAGTTAATCCATCCGGTAAGTGAATTAATAAAAAAAATACTTCTAGCAATTTTACACTAACTAAAAGTATATCTGAATTTGTTAAGAAAATTTAGACTGAAAATTGTTGTTGAGTACGTTGGGTTGTCGCTATTTTATTAATAAATTATTAAATATTTGTTGATAGACTATGAAACTAATGTAAGACGTGTTGTTTTTGNTATTATCAATCTATTGAGCGGTTGAGTATCACTACAACACCAAATACTGCCGCATCCTACGACTGCTGCTCTTGCACTGCAATGTGCTCAAACTGGCTCAAACCTTGAATCCTTCAATGCTTGAATCATAGGCTTGAGTGTACTCATATAATCATGTGGTAATGGGCTGCATGCTGGAACTCGGCACGCTTCAAGATAAACGTGTGACTTCCTGACCCACTCAACACCTGTTCTTGTGAGATCAGAAAGGTTATCTAGGATTAAATAATCACACCGCCTACTTTCTCCTATCTCTACGCACTTGCACTAGCGCTACCTAATTACTAGTGTAATCAACTGCAACCTAGACATGACCAGACATGACCACATGACCCAGACATTAACCAGACTTGGCAGAATTACTGCTTTATCTCAATGATGATCATATCATGAAGTATCATTATACCACATGATACCTCATCTGAACACACCACAAACCACATAATACGTGGTGTAAAATGTGAATTATGAGAATAAGTTATTCATTTTTTTAATTTCATTATTCTGATTAGGCTCATTAAATGTTTTTTGAAGCTTTATATTATGCTATGTAGTTTCTTAAAGATTGCATGTAGTGTTCTGCACCCTTTGCAATCCAAGTTTAAACGGCAGTCAATATTTAGCCACTATTAGATAAATAACATCCATAGATGGCATCATAGTAATGAAAAGTGATTGAAAGCTGGTTTAACCTCATTTTATTTAGCATAATAAATAATAGGAAAAAGCTATAAAATAAGGAATAGGAGTGTATAACGTGTACTAATTAATATCATTAATATCTAAAATTGATTTGGAAACATGGGTTTAATCTGTAATCGTAAAATGTGAAAGTTCCCACCCCATAACAAATAGCTTAGAAAAAGAGGCAATAAACAAGAATTGCTAAACAAATTAGACAATTTATTAATAATTGAGTGCAGCGAATACAGTTTACAAAGGTCGTAACTTTAATTGTGATAATTTAAAATGTATGTTTGTCAACATACTTTTCCATAACTTGCATTATGATGGAGAAGCCACAGAGTTGTACTTCTGAAACCAGTGGTGCCTCTGAAGAGGATTGTTCTAAATCAAAATGCTCTCATTTATCTGATAAATACCATTTAAACATTGATCTAGAAAATAAACTACAAGAAGAGTACCCAGAAGTCATAAAACTCATTAGGCTATTACATAAATGCATAAAAAAGCAGAGAAGGAAACTCAATGTATTAAAAGGAAAGTTAAAAGTAAGTAACAGTAATTTCCTGGCTTTGTGTGTTATGTTTCATAAAAAATGTTTTTTCTTGTAGAAACATAAACAGACTGTGGAAGCTGGAGTACAAACTGGTAATTCTCTGGAAACTGAAGTATCTAAGTGCAATTTAGAAACTCCAGGAAATATAACTGAAGAAATTACACAAGCTGCAGAATTGGCAGTTCAAAATAGTGGTTTTGTTTTTGAAGAAACATCTGGACTTTATTATGATTACAGCACTGGATATTATTACAATGCAGTAAGTAATTTAATGTGACATGGACAAAAAAATTCATAAGTATCTGATGTGCAATCATTAGGAACTTGGCTTATATTATGATGGAAATACTGGAATTTACATGACTTATGAAGCCTCCAGTAATTCTTACAAGTTTCATTCTAAAGTGGACATTCCTTCTAAAAATTCAGAACAAGAACTGACAAGGCACAGAACCAAGACAAAGCGAAAAGTTTCTAACCAGGAAAAAAATCAAGTAAGCAATTTTTTTATTTAATTTGTGTTTGCATTTTAGTTAATGGTGCTGTTTCTTTTTAGGTAATCAGACCTTGCAATATGGACCATCTTTCCAAGTTTTTTAATCAAATGAATTTAGACAATCTTCGTAAAGTTGCTTTGGGTATATACCTCTCTGTAATTCAAATCTATTTCTAGGATTCCAAAAAGAAGTGCCTTCCAAAAAAACCAAATAAGAACAAAATAAGTAAAGAAGAATTGGAAGAGGGTGAATGCTCAGATACCGAAAGTACTGAGGAGGAAGAGTCAATAACTAGCATTGATAATGAAGATAGTTTAGATAGTGGTATTTTTTTGTTTTTTTTTTTTTTCTCAAAATCTACTCAAAAGATTCTGAGTTTCTTTTTTTCACTTTTTGGAAAGTCATAAAAAAGTTAAGGAACCTATACTCCTTGGGTAAAGGTCAAAAAGGAAAAATTTGTCCAAAATTTACTGTGAGACTCTTGTTTCTTCTTATTTATATTTTGTAATTTAACTGGCAGGTGCTGCCTTTAGGAATCCTTGGAAAATCTAGAGTAATAGTAATATAAATAATCTTAACGGTTTATTTATAAATAATAATGATTCCTGTTAGAATTGTAACTGACAATCAGTTATCATTAAATTTTGTTGTAGATGCTTCAAAGCGTTGGCCTCCCTGTATGCGAATAATTGTGGAGGAAAGCACCGTGGCAAAATTAAGAATTGGTTCATTGTACATAATAACTTACGAAGGTGGTTCTTTGGGAAGGGAGGGTGACCATTCCATTTTAATACCCGACATTAACACGAGCAAACATCACTTAAAATTCTCGTTTCATAAAGAATCAAATAAATTTTTGGTAACCGATTTGGGATCGAGAAACGGGACCGTGCTGAATGGCAAGCGAATGTCAGCTTCAAAACAAGAAAGTGAAGCCCACGAAGTTGCACACGGTAGCAGAATACAAATTGGAACGACAATTCTTCTGTGCCACATACATAACGGTAATGAAACATGTGGACTTTGTGAACCTGGTCTCGTTCAAAACAATACAGCTGGTAAGAAAACTAAAAAAAAAATAGAAATTTCAAAATTACCTCTTTCATTTGAATCCTTTCTTTTACAGAAGATAATAAAGGAGTTATTGCCCCAAGTTTGACAAAGGGAACACAACATAAAAAGGAGCTTCAAAGACTGAGGAAGAAGTTTGGGATAACGTCCCAGGATAACAGTAACATCCAATTGGCTAGTGGGTACTCAGACAGAGCCCAAGCTAGAAGGGAAACTGTTGGTAGCCACAATGAATATGAAAAGACTGAAGTAGCTTCTGTTGAACAGTAATATACATGAGAATTTTTAATGGAATGAGATTTTTAATTTTTCTTTTATATTTGTAATTTTAGATCCATTAAGCCGAATAATATCGGGTTCAAGATGCTTTCTAAAATGGGATGGTCAGAAGGACAGGCACTTGGAAAAGAAGGGTCAGGAATATCGGAACCAGTACGTTTTCATAATTTAAATAATATTGATGTATTTTAGTTTTTGCTGTTGATTATCTAAATTTAAAATTATTGCTTATACGTAGTTTCTTATTATTCAATATTCAATTGCATGCAGTTATGAAGGTAAAAATTGCTTTTATTTTAACTAAGTATGGAAGCTTGATTGTATTTTAAATACAGTACTTTACAACTGGCTTAATATGATTTTTACAAAATATAAGCCTTCAATTAACGTGAAAAAAAATTGGTATATACTCTTTTGCGCAGATTCAACCAAAGGCAAATTTTAACAGTGCGGGTTTAGGAAGCAGCCAGAGTGAAATTCTGACAAATCAAAACGAAAATAATACCAAAGGAAATATTTGGAAAAAGACTCAAAAGAGATTTCAACAACTACCAGCTAGCCAGAATATATTTGAAGATGAAGAATCAGACTAAATCAAAGTACAAATATTTTCGAGTAATTGAACAGTGTTATAATTTTTAAGATTTTACATTTTGTAATTNTTCATGTCGTTAAATAATCCAAATCAATATCAAATCAAAAATCGACGCCCACAATGGGATTAAGAGATACCATGGGGGTATAGTTACCTAATAAATTCTATTGATTGTTCTTCCCTTATTTTATATTCAGTTTTTTAAATTAAAGTAATATTGAATATTAAAAGTACTTTATTCATTAAGGTCGTCGTTGATTTGACTTGATTTAAAAAACAGTTACTTAATAAAGTGTCCAATTGAAATATAGAATATCCTTTTCTGGATTTTTCCTAACTTAAATGCAGTTATAATTAGACCTAATAAAATTATAAAGAATAAATTCTCAGTTCCATGCTGCAGTGCCATCAGATTTTCTATGTAACGCTCCAACTTAAAAACTTTAAAAAAGTTTTTATTGCTACTTAATTCCAAGAATCTGCCAAGTAGGTTTGTTAAATTCCTTTTAAAAGAAAGTTTATGATAGTTCTGCAAGGCCGAAAAATTGAATGGAAAATTTGATGGCCTCGCATCATTGAGTTGAAAAAACCGCAATGTGAATATAATTTTTATCTTTCAATAGATCTGTCTTTACAAATCTTTAGGAGTTTGATAAAAATAACTGTTAAAGGCGTACACGTCCTTTATTTCTTTTTCAAAATTGAACTATTTTCCTTACCTCCAAGAAGGGCGAAAAATGCGATTGAAAATAAGAAACTAACACAAAGTCTTTTTGACACAAACTCTCCGCTAGTATCAGTACATCGACTTGTCTCCAAACTCAAAACCCTTTGCATTGTATAAACAATTAAATCCTACAATACAGTCCTCGGTGATTACACATTACAAGAGTTTATTACTGTTATCATGCTGTTATCGCTCACGCGGTGTATAAAACTAGTCGTATACTTAGATAGTAAATGTGGTCAAGATGTTAACGTTAATATTGGTGCGGTGTGTATTTTAACAAAAAGGCAAATTAAAGGTAAAGAAACTGTTTCTTTTTAAACTGCGAAATGTTTATGTCAAAATAAAAATGTTTATCTTTGTAAAAAGTTTTTTGCAACTACAGATTATTTTCTCTTGTTATCAACATTAATTCTTTTGTTATCTTGTGCTAAAAAAGATGTAAAAATTAAACAAAAAATAAATTATCTGATTAATTAATTGTTAGTTCTGAATAAGTAGCCCTGCATATTTTTTGTAATATGTAATGTTTGACGAGTGGTTGGATAATTCTCAAACATTTTAAAAATTTATGAGATAAAACAGTGAATAGCTTTTCTAATATTTCAGAGTTTTATTACAGTCTAATAAAGTAATGACCCTTTGAAAAATTAAAAAAATTATTCACTTTTTTAACTCAATTAATACAGTCGAATTTCTGTAACTCCAGTATGTTATTGTTCCCCTGACATACAAATTGTTTTACATTTATTCTAAACTTTTTAACCCGAATTTATTTATTTATGTAACTTCAATTTTTTATCTGACTCGAGATTCAAATGCGTAGAAGCGGTCATTTTCTTTACTCGAATTTTCTTTAATTTGAACATACATGACCTATTGAATTTAAGAGGTTCGAGTATTTTTTACATTGCATAGGCATAATAAGAAACATTTTCGTTCTAACTGTTTTCGTTATTATTTTCAGGTCCCCAATTAGGGTACATAAATTTATACTGGTAAGTGTTATATTTAAATCCTTTGCTATAGATTTTTTTACTGCTAAATCGGTATATAGGTATTTTATTTCGATTTATAAATAAATTTTATTATCGCTCTATATTGGTACAAATTATAGCATTAAAAAGACTATATGTACTTGTTTTTTAAAATGTCGAATAGTTTTAAACATCTTAGGTAACACCTTTTGATTTTAATTTCTCCAAAAGTGTGAATTTGGCACATTTTTACCTTTTTTTTAACTGAATTAAAAGGCTGTTAACACAATTTTTTACTTTATTTTGGACATTAGTCGCAGTTTAAAGTTTCTAGAATATTTTTAAAAAATAGAAAAATTATAATTTACGAGTGCTTTTTATGTTTTCGAGTTTCTGACTTAACTTGCACTTGGAACCTTAAGATTTGGCATTTTGATTGATATTTTCAAAAACTTTTAAATGTATTGAAAAACTAGTAGCTTTTTCGTTTTAATTAAAATCTGTACTATCAAAAAACTTACTTGCATTTTTCTGGACTCAAAATGTATGTTCTAAAGTATCATTTGAACTTGACGAAAACTTTTGAGAGTTACTTTATGCCTAGATATTTTTATAAAAGCAATGACTATTGGATGACTTTTTTATTTTAAGATTTTGTATACATCAAATATTAAGTCGCAAAAATTCCTGATGCGGTCTTTTCGTTTATTTTAAGGCCTTTAATGTCATGTCTTGTTTTAATATGCATTGCTTATTCTCATTAATAATACAAAATTAAATAATTTATCATTGATACCTGAATAACAAATATTTTATTTACATCTGTGTTCTGCATTTATAAATCCATCCATAATAAGTGTATTATTTTATTTCACCACGAACAGTCTTTTAAAAACAATTTTTTGTGGGTCATTTTTTCACCTATTGTTTTCAACGGGGGTAACATATTGTTCCAACAGTTCGCTCACTGTTTTGTAACAATCTTCGAAGGATTTCAACTGATTGTGCACTATTTTGCTAATTTCTAATGGTACGTCATTTTGGAACTGGATTTTATCAGGAATTTTGACGAAATCAATATTGCACTGGATATGTTTATAAATTTCATCTATGTGCTCACTTTTCAAATTCTGTTGTGATGTAGACAACATTTTCGTGGAATTGTGTATCTGTTGAGTTATTTCGGACAAACGGTACAAGGTTTCGAAGGATTTTGAATCTTCTACGTTAATATCTTCCAGCGTTGTTTTCTTCTTTATGATTAGGGCTCTTTCGGTGGCGTATCTGCCTAACAGGTAGCCTGAAGGGAAACAATAAAACCGTAAATGTACAGTTTTGTAAAAAGCTATGTAATCTTTGTTTCCTTCATGTCGTTAAATAATCCAAATCAATATCAAATCAAAAATCGACGCCCACAATGGGATTAAGAGATACCATGGGGGTATAGTTACCTAATAAATTCTATTGATTGTTCTTCCCTTATTTTATATTCAGTTTTTTAAATTAAAGTAATATTGAATATTAAAAGTACTTTATTCATTAAGGTCGTCGTTGATTTGACTTGATTTAAAAAACAGTTACTTAATAAAGTGTCCAATTGAAATATAGAATATCCTTTTCTGGATTTTTCCTAACTTAAATGCAGTTATAATTAGACCTAATAAAATTATAAAGAATAAATTCTCAGTTCCATGCTGCAGTGCCATCAGATTTTCTATGTAACGCTCCAACTTAAAAACTTTAAAAAAGTTTTTATTGCTACTTAATTCCAAGAATCTGCCAAGTAGGTTTGTTAAATTCCTTTTAAAAGAAAGTTTATGATAGTTCTGCAAGGCCGAAAAATTGAATGGAAAATTTGATGGCCTCGCATCATTGAGTTGAAAAAACCGCAATGTGAATATAATTTTTATCTTTCAATAGATCTGTCTTTACAAATCTTTAGGAGTTTGATAAAAATAACTGTTAAAGGCGTACACGTCCTTTATTTCTTTTTCAAAATTGAACTATTTTCCTTACCTCCAAGAAGGGCGAAAAATGCGATTGAAAATAAGAAACTAACACAAAGTCTTTTTGACACAAACTCTCCGCTAGTATCAGTACATCGACTTGTCTCCAAACTCAAAACCCTTTGCATTGTATAAACAATTAAATCCTACAATACAGTCCTCGGTGATTACACATTACAAGAGTTTATTTTATTTTTCATTTCTCAGAACTGAACTTCTTTTCGCTTTTTAAAATTTCGGAAAAAAGGCACTTTTATATCTATTAATAGAATTTAACCATCGGAGTTGTGGGTACAACAACGTATAGTTTTCAACAGGCGCGTAAGCCCGACAGAAACCCTGGCACCTGCCCAAAGTCCGTGGGTATTAATAATAAGACTACCGAAATACTTATATAATTAGCGGGAATATTGTTTAAAACAACTCAACAATGTTGTTGTCTTTTTCTGTTGGGATTCGTTATTAAAAATAGAAATATTTTGCGAGCGCAAGTCGAACGCAAGGTGGCCGGTGATGGTCAATTTGAGAGATTAATCATCTTGGATTTCAAGGACTTTTTAAGGCTAAATCTGAAACTGAATGTTCCATTTAAATATTTTTATTTAAATTCACTTCCAATGGGTAAAAGTTTATGGGGTAATTTCTGATGTTGCCTTTCTTTTCAAGGATATTTTTTAATTCTAAGTAACATGGATAGAAAGGATATATAAGAAGGAAGACGTTGTAGAAGTCATTGCTTTATTGTCTTGAACTTCCGTTTCATTTTCGGTGATAACTGATTGGCAAATATGCTAATATGTTTGCACAATTTCCCTGTAATCTTTGGAAAATTACTACAGACTCTGTTAATTTTAGTACTGTTTATAAAAATTGTAATAAAGAATTTCGTGGTCGGGTATTTAGGTTAGCAGGTAAAGCGTAGAATAAGCGGAAATTTGCTCTAATTTAACTGATCGTAAGATCGTATCTCTAATAATAACTAGGATTCTTGGTCGTCTTACGGAAATGAGTCACCTTGTACATTTTGCTATTATTAATAGCAAAAAAGTAACAGATGACTCCCAGTACTTACATCACATGTGTTAGTTTTATTAGAGTATTTAAGAAACAGTGATTTTCTTTTATTGATTGTAAGGAATAAGGAATGATTACCCAGGCAAGTAATATGTAAGGGTAGTTCGTGTTTATTTTTTAAAGGTACGACTCAAAACTTTGCGGTGTATGTACCCTACTGGGCACAGTGTATAGTTATAATACAACATACGTAATAGATTTTATAATAGGCTTAATTCAATTGGGCACCGATTATAGGGAGTCTTTGAAAGTATTCTCTAGATGGACATCTAACGAAAGTTGAGAGGATTAACTACCCCTAATAAATAGCGTAATTGAGCACCGACAAGTGTATAGCTGAACGACTTCAATATGATCATGACAACACTTACTTCGTTAATGTTGCCCTTTTCTACGCAATCGAACACTAACATTTATCGATTAATGCATTTATTGGGCATGTTCTTTACCTTTTGCAAAATCGTTTTGCTCGGTTTATTCAATTATTTATTTTGGTGAAAAGTATATAAGTAGTATATTATGAAGTAACAAAATATGACAATATTTTTTTGTAAGTAATGCACGTATTATATGAGCGTTTCTTTATTAGCTCTTACGAAATTTGCAAGAATAATTTCCATATTATCAAGTGCGAATTTTGCTTGCTTGTACAACTTCCCTTCCCTTATTTCTTCAGGTTCGTTTTTAAGCAGAGTTGCGGCTTCGGTTAATATCCTTTTGGCTTCCTTTACAAACAAAAAAATATCATCAGTGAGGCATGAATGGAAATGTTTGAGAATAAAACAACTTTAGTGCTTCGAACAAAGAAAAGTTTACAGTATTGAATAATAAAAAAGAAATGTTCGAATTTCGTATTGTTTGTACATTTTATTTACATCATCTCAGTATTTCAAAGGTACCAAATGTATTATGTGTGAGGAAGGAAAGTCAAAAATACATTTTCCTTTGTAAAATTGGTTGACTATCTGGGGTTACTAAATAAAAACAAAAATACAAATAAATGAATTTGAGTAATTAACAGTTTCGGATTCATAATAGAAAGCTCTTTGTTGTACGAGGATTTTCTTTACAAAATTTTTAATTCTCTTTGTATCTATCGTGGTAATAAGATAGGTTAGAGATTTTTGCTAATTGGAAAGAAAACTGAGTGAGTTTAAGCATGACGGTCTAAGTAAGGGATTAGTAGTTGGGAATACGGAGGTACTAGAAAAGTAGAACTAAGATGGTAGAACACTTTTTCAGACATAACGGGCTAGATAGAAATATATTAGGAGAAGCTCGAGTATAATAAAGATGGACTGAGAACGGCTAAGGGTCTGTATCCAACATGTGAAGGAAATATGTTATATTTACCTGTAGGGTTGAATAAAAGTCCCCTTGGCCTTCTTCACCAAAATTTGTTCTCCGTCTTCCAATTTCTGCTATAGCAGCATGCTGTTCAAAGAGTATCGTACCCATTAGGCGATTTTCAGCTACAAGTTTGTTTTTCAGCAGAATATTCTTTTGTTATCTAATTTATACCAATACCTGGTGCTAATATTTGAACAAGCGAAGACAACTGCTTGCACAGTTGAAGTTTTAAATGCAAATCATCGTCTGATACACCGGACAAGCCTTCCTCTAATTCCATACCAATAATTTCTATCAGTGCTAGTCTTACGTCAGTTAAATAGAAGTGATTCGTTGGAAGGATGTTACTGTAGTATTCTAAAAATTTCTTTGATGCCGATGTTGAATCTTTATCCATAGCTTGAAGGTCCCGACCAACGTGTTCCACGATATTCTGTGCTTCTTCGTCATCTATTTGCATATTGCAAGCGTTGCAAGTCCAAATGATTGGAGTTGTTACATTTTCGCTTATAAAAGTTTCAGGAATTAAAATACCATCGCATTCTCTAAAAGATACGTTTGGAAATTTATTATTTTTTAAACAACGTGAAGTTTTTGGTCAATAATTTATCGAAATCACTGTTTTTATTAAACAAGTGTGGAATATTCAAGAAATGATTGTTAATTTGAAGTGAAAGCGACCATTAAATTATAAGGTCTAATTTACCTACAATGATAGCATCATCATCATCATCATAAGGCCGTCAGTCTTAAGACTGGTTGGACACGTACCTCCAATCTTTCCTATCCTGAGCTAAAATCCGCATTTCCCTAAAACTAGAACAGCCTCTACCTCTACCCCTCCTAATTCCTGTTTCTGCCTCTAATATGTCTCTGACTAGCCCTTCATGCCTAAGAAGGTGTCCTACCAACCTATCTCGCCTATATTTATTGACTTCCATAGAGTCCTCTGTTCTCCTATTCTTTCCAACACCTCTTCATTTCTAACCTTTTCTACCCATGTTACTGTCCATGTTCCGCACCCGTAAAACGCCGTGCTCCAAACATACACCTTTAACAACCTTTTTCGGATTTCTAAATTAACCGTTAGCGAGCATAGAAGTGACTTCTTTTTATTAAAGGCGACACGACCCTGCGCTATCCTCTGCCTTATATTCCTGCTACTCCTTCCATCCTGACTTATCTGACTTCCTAGGTATCTAAAATCCGCCACTTATTCTAATTTTTCGTTTCCTATCTTTATATTCGCTCTTTCCCTACTTTTTCTTCCCTTACAGTGATTGCGGCGAATTTTAAACAAAACAGACCTTCTCTTAATTTTAATCTCTCTTCCTAACATACGAAACTATAATTGCAACTTTTTTTCTCATTAAAAAAAAAAAACATTTAACATGAAGGATTTACTTTAGTTTGCATCTCAAGCAGCTTAGGTATGTTCCGAATTCGGTTGGATCACTGCATCTAGGGCACACACACCAAAAGAATTTGGATTCAGACAGATGATACCGTCTGTTGGGGGTTCCCCAAAGTGGATCAGTGTAGCAAATGGTAAGGTGGTCGCCTTTTTCTATCGGAACGCCGGCTGTTATCAATACTTCTCCCTTAGCGGTAAATGTTTTGCAGCAGTTGGCTTTGCAACTGTGTTCAAACATTGATGTTTTTTCATACACAGCTACGAAGGGTGGTTTTTTTAAAGGAACTTCATGACCGTTTACCTGGAATTTAGAAGATAATTTCATTGTCTTAGGTTCACAGGCTAGGGCACATATAGAAATATGAATTAAAGTTCATATTTGGTACAAAACGTAGATTAGATTTTTTTTTAATGTTTGGTCAAAAAAGTCTTTTAGAATAATTATTATTGCATCCATTAAACTTAATTCACAATGTATTTACCGTAACAATTCCACAGAATCTGAGTATTTCTTCATCAGTACAAACTTCTTCTAATTGGAAAAAGCTTCTCAAAAAGTTAGCTACGAAATATTTATCTTGTTCGTATTTTTCCGTTTTCTTCCGTTCTTCACAATGAGATTTCAACCTGTCTAATTTTTCCCAAATGTCTGGCATATTCTGTTTTATGTACAAACACCGAAGGGGCGTTATACATTGGTAACTGGGATGGGGCGCATCAAAAACATCAATTGTTATCTAAAACAAAAAAAAGATAAGGCAAATGAATTTCTCTGTAATGTATTTGAATGTAAAGAAGAAATTGGTTGCTTTATAAAGCTGGTAGGACACTAGAAACAGCTAGACAGATATTAGAAGCAGAAACAGAATTAACCAAGGGTTGAGCAACCCCAGATATTACTAGTTCCAAATAGAGATTCTATAGTTTTCGAAGAATTCCAATATTTTTTCAGGATAAGGAACTGTTCAAGGAGGAGGGGTTAACCAACGTATTTAATAAAATGAGATAATAATCTTCCGGTATTTTGCGTGAGATTATGAACGATTTTAGGTAAAAGCGGCTTGTAGGATCAAAAATCTTCAAAAACTGCGTCACGTATTATTTGAACGGCTCCTATGAAGGGGTTGGTGTGCGTGTCCAGCCCTCTTGTGATGATGATATTATTCCCAAAATTAAGTATCGATTTAATACTTGAACGGCCTCTAAGAAGGGGCGGAGGTACGCGTCTAAGTAATCTTTTGATGATGATGATGATATTAGCCTTCAAATTATGTCTTTTGATGATGATAATGTTACTCCTCAAATTATATTTTGATTTAACATTTGGGCGGCCTCTAAGAAAGGGTGGAGGTATGTGTGATTACTCCCAAAAAACGTATTGATTTAATACTTGAACGGCCTCTATGAAAGGGTGGAAGTACCCGTGCAAGCAGTCTTTTGATAATGATGATATTAATCCTCAAATTATGTATTGATTTAACATTTGGGCGGTTTCTAAGAAAGGGTGGAGGTAGCATCCAAGCAGTCTTTTGATGATGATGATATTACACCCAAAATTAAGTATTGATTTGATACGTGAACGACCCCTAAGAAGGGGTGGAGGTACGCGTCCAAGTAGTCTTTTGATGATGGTGGTATTAATCTTCAAATTATGTACCTATTGATTTAACAATTGGACAGCCTCTAAGAAGAGGTGGAGGTACTCGCCGAAGCATTCTTTTGATGTTAATGATATTACTCCCAAAATTAAGTATTGATTTGATACTTGAATGGCCTATAAGAAGGAGTGGAGGTACGCGTCCAAGTGGTCTTTTGATGACTTTGAAATAACTCCCCAAATTAAGTATTGATTTAATAAAAATAGTTTGTTATTGGTTAGTAACTGACACATATTTGCTAAAATTCTTACCCTTTTCCCAACTGCCGTCGTAAATGAGCATTCAGGAATGTGATTGGATGATTTTTCACAACGTTCACTGCACACTGGCCATCCACATTTTTCACATGGTCGGCAAGTCTGCGAATTTAGTCCTTTACCACAACCTAGACATACAGGTTTTGTATGCTGCAGGGGCCCCCAAACTAAAGGCAATTCCTGAAGGACTTTTTCACCTTTTTTAATAGGTTTTGTGGCTTTTAGATACCTTCCAAGGTGGGGGTCCTCGCATATCTATAAAAGGAAATTTAAAATTAAAAAACAAAAGAATAACACTGATTACCTAGATCATCTCGTGATAAAGAACGAGAAAATGATGTCTCTCTCCTTTTTGGATTTGTTAGAACTGAACTATCGAAATTATCCAAACCGTTTTAGATATCACGATGAATCACAGTTATACTATATATTTTGATGCATTTAAAAATTAAGTACATAAAAAAATTAACTGCATTTACCTTAAATGGGAAGCAATCTTTCCTGTGCGTTTTCCAATCGGTAATTTGATGCTCTTTGCTGCAATAGAACACGCTGAAGCATCCCCCGCACTTTTGCTCAGCAGATTTTTGACACACCGCACATTTCGAAAATTCCGACATTACTTAATACTGCTATTACAACTGAAACTTGTTATAGGCAAACGTATCTAATGTTTTCGTTGTTGTTCAACTGTTAATGTCAGTGAACTAAATTTATTTCGGAATCAAAGCGCCGCGTTGGTATACTAAAAATAACGAGAATTTTAAGATCGCCGCAAGTGCAGTGTATGTAATACATCAGTAACACTACATTTTCAATATTTCAAACTAAAACTTGCTCATTTTGTAGTTATATGTATTCATAATATTCAAAAGCTACTTCTTATTTGAATACTTCGTACACTGAAATAAGAAAGTTTTGGAATAATCAGTTAGCTACTGTGTTAGTAGGGTGTTTACAGACTGGCCGTTATTGCCTATAAAACCGCTTCAAATAAAACGAGAAAAGCGTATATTTTATATTATTAGAAATGTTATTATGCTTTCTAGGTAAAATAAAGTTTCCTTTTGAAATGTTTTTAAAGTTTTTAGTGGCATTTAGGCACTTGAATTAAAAATCCGTACAAACGTAACTATTGTGAAACAAACAAGTTGTAAAATTTGGGGAAATAGGTGAGATTTATTAGGTATTATGTACACTGTACATACGTATTTATGTATTTATGATTTAGTGGTTTTTGAGCTTACATATAAGGTTGTTCGGAAAGTCATTTCGTTTTTTCCCGACAGAGGATTTAGTTGTATTCTTTTGCGCCCAACTTCACATTTAAGCCGTATAATTTTTATATGCTTTGAGAGCTCATACAGCAAGGCTTGTGTGTGAAAAATTCCAATTAATTCTACGCAGTAGTTTTTGGTTGGTGCCCTTTTAAATATGGAGAGCGATAAGCAGCATTTTCGACATATCTTACTGTTTTACTACAGAAAGGGTAAAAATGCTGTTCAAGCCAGAAAGAAATTGACTGATGTGTATGGAGAAGGT